CCCCCACACTGCAACCCAGGACACTAAACACAAAGATCTGGCTGATTTATGTGCAAAAAATTACCATTTCTGCAGGATCTATCTGGCACTGGTGTCATCTTTTCTCTACCTGCTGAGGCCTGTGCCTTGTTGATTTTTAACCCATTTCTTTCTGGTCTTGTGGCAGGTGCTTTCCAGTGGGAACAATTAGAAGAGGATATAAAAAAGAAGTTGAAAGATCCAGAAAAAATTGAACCTGTGCTTGAGAAAGTTAAATGCATCCTGAAAACTCCAGGCAAGGTACATCTAACCATTAGTTACTTGAGTTTTTGAGAAATTGTTTTGTAGACAAGGTTTCCTTGTCCAGACTTTGTTCTAAAGTCACTGCATCTTACACAGCCTGTACTACTTTATCAGTGGGTTATTTGCAGGCACATCCAACACAGAAATGTGGAGATGCTGATGTGATGTGTTGAATCAGTTGGTAAAAAGCACACAAGCAGGTATTCTAAAAGGATTACTTGCAGTCATAGATTTGCACACTGTCTGACATTATTATTATGTGTTGCTAATTCACATGTAGTAGAGGCTGTCCAGGAAAGACTTCCTTTCCTGAACATATGCCAAAGTTGGGCTTCTGCAGTAGATGGTGGTTCCTCTTAAAAATGTTGTGATATGGGAAGCTGTCTATAACTCAGTATATTTAATTCAGTAAATGACTTCACAGTAAAATGTGATTTATGTCACATTATGAAGTTAATAAAAAGTTACAATATAGAATTAATTTTAACTGTCATTTGCTGGTACACCTTACATACTGCCTGATACTACAGAAGTTGTTAAAAGTATTTATGACAGTTTTAGTTGGAAACCATCTTGAACTCTGAGATAACACAAAATAAATACTGAAAAGTTACTGAGCTGTTTTAAGCTTCTGATTGCTCAGTTGTAGGCTTAGCAGCCCTAAGTGTCTGCAACTAAAACATTCATTGGGCTGGACTTGGAAAGACCTGAAAACATTTAAGATAAAAACCCTGAGCTGTTGTAATTTATTTTGCTGGGTTTTATGCCTTCAGGGCAGTTTTATTTCACACTTAAATATCAGGTTGTTTGGGTTTTCTTGAAGGCCTAAATATGGATTGTGATTTTTCTTTATAAAATTAATAAATTAAAGATTTTAACCATAAATTCAGCTTCATCTGAATTTCACTTATCACAAGCTAGCAATATGATTTTGATGTTGTTCCTTTTGGCAGCTTTAGATTCCAATTTTAAGGTAAGAAAACCAAAACTGAAAACTGTGGGAGTGCTGGGGTTTGGAGGGTCTTGACACTAGTGCACCCAGATTATTGTGAAAGAAGTCTGTGCTCAAGCCTGTGAGCTCCTCCTGCCTCTCTGGGAGCAGTGCTAGGGCAATATCAAGAAACACAACTTTCAGCAGCATTGCATCTGTACACAGCATCACACTGTGGGGTGCACATGTGTCCCATCCGTGTACCCCACAGAGTCCTCAGACCTTGTGTTACTGCGTGTTGGGTCTGAACGGGCATATATGTAAAGGTGTGGAGTCTAGAAAACCTGTGATTCAGCCCAGCCTTCCCAGAGATGCTGGATGGGGGAGTGTTGTCACAAGTTAGAGAGTACCAAGGTGAGATCTGGAGTGTGACTGTGGGAGATAGAGACCCCTTGGAGCTGCTCCACTGTAGAGAATAGGAAAAGAGAGGAATGCACATGCAAGAGGATGTTGTTTTGTTTCCCATATAGATGTTGTCCTGTAATCTTTAATTCTGTGGGCAACTGCACATGACAGTGCTTTATTACCAATTTATTTTTCAGCTGAACACTGTAAAGGATTGCAGGTCTCACCAGATGAAACGGCTGTATAATACTTCTCTCAGGCTATTCTTTAACACACCTGTTCTAGCTGATGTCATCTTCAAAATACAAGGTATGGTATCTCTGCTCCTATTGCTGTGGACACCACTGCACCTCCAGCCTTCACCTTTATCCCCTCTGCAGGTGAGGGACATGGAGACAACTTTGTGCTGCAGCATCAAAACAAAGGAAATGTGAATGCTTCGCTATCACAAGGGAAAGCAGGGAAAGCTTGCCCTTGTGGATGCTGTACAGCAGTGTCTACTCTCAGCATGGTTTGTCTGGGCTGAACCTGTGCAAATGCCCTTGTGGTAGACTTTGTACCTCCCTGATTGACACACACCCCTTGGAGTCTTAAGAAAATGAGGGATATGCTGCAAGAATAGCAATGGCACAGCACCAAGACAGCAAGGCTAAGCTAGGGATGAAACAGTGTCAGTGATTTTATTTTATTTTGTTTTATTGTATTTTAATCTCACTCATGCTGCCACCTGTGCAAGCATGGGGCATATCAAGTAGAGAAGTGTCAGAGCTTTTGCTGGTTGAAAGCTCATTTCTGACAGGTAAAATTTTTCATGATTTGTAGCACCTGATTTTGGGTGGATGTGATCATCTTGACAGGTACAAAGTGAGTATGTTATTAGCTATTGTCAGCTTCAAACACTTTAACCACATTCAGTGAAGTGAAGGCCTTCTAAGAAAATATGAGCTGCAAAAGAAAGATCTTCCTGTGTAATATACAATCATTGCATATTTTTATCTTGTGTCCTACAGGTGCAACTGTCCCAGCCCACAGGGCAGTTCTGGTAGCTCGCTGTGAGGTAATGGCAGCTATGTTTAATGGTAATTACCTGGAAGCAAATAGTGTTCTGGTTCCAGTGTATGGAGTTTCCAAAGAAACTTTCCTTTCCTTTCTGGAGTATCTTTATACTGACTCTTGCTGCCCAGGTGAGAAAATAATGCATGTGTATCTGTGACTCATTTTTCCACAGTAGGGCATTCATAGAGAGTAATGTAGCAGCATTTATTTCATTGAAAAATGCCAATATTTTAATCTGTAATGTCTCAAGAAAAAGAACTTGTTCATATTGTGCAATAAAAATAGAGATCAGTTCTATTCAAGTATAACCATCCCTAGGCAGAACCAATAATACTAATAAAATGATGTATTTGCTTTGTGCTCACATAGCAAAACTTTGGAATTTTCTTTCTGCATCATGATAAAATTGATTTATAGACTTCCTTCTGTGTATTATTTCAAACTTGTAAATTTTTAACATGTAGATAGTTATGTTTAATATAAGCAAGGTTAAACTGCAAGAATACTATATTTATACATATGGATACCTTATTTGTACGTAAAACCAGAAAAAAATTATGTCAACTGAGCATTTGGCAAGAAAAATTAAGCTAAAATATTATTTGTGTCTTAATTGTTGTCTTTTTTATAAGAAAATCTACTTACTAAATATGAAATATTATTTAAATACATCTAATTTTCCCTTGATTGAATGAATGAATGAATGTTGTAATATGTATTTTTACTTTTGTTTCTTTTGAAACAATTCTACATTATACTTATTTTATCGATATGTTTCTCTTTTTCCTTTTTTTTTTAACATTTCCTTGTCCATCAGTTCAAATACAAAACCACTGTTAACATATTTTTTTAAAAAAAGCAGTTGATCTGTTTTGTCTTTGGTCTTTTACTATATTTTCTTGTATCACAGAAGTACTTTTTTGAAAGAAAAGTTAGCTAACTTTTCTTATTAATTATCACATACTCTAAATAGACCACTTGACTCAGCATCTTCAAGATACAGAATATTGACTGCAATTTCACCTACATGCTAAAAAGTTCTTATAACTCTTTTCTTCTTAATGAAATAGCTTCTCTGAAAAAAGGTTATACTGCATCTATCTTAAAATTACAATAATAAAAATAAAATAAGGTGGTCACAGCAGTTTGATTTTGTGTTTGTTTTTATGTATTTAAAAGATGACTTAGTGAAAAGTAGCTTTCATTGTCTTGTTAGAAAGGGAAAATACATGTAACTTGTGTTTTCTTGATTTTCAGCCAGTATTCTCCAAGCTATGTCTCTGTTGATCTGTGCAGAGATGTACCAAGTAATGAGACTCCAGCATATCTGTGAACTTTATATTATCACACAGCTCCAGAGCATGCCTAGCAGGGAACTGGCATCCACAAGTCTTAGTATTGTTAGCTTGCTCAAAAAAGCCAAGGTATGTGTTGTATATATCAAATAAGAATATATATGTTGACTCTAAATAGTTGTTTAATTGTTAAGATTTTTAATATCTTGATGATTTCTGTTCCCAAGGACAAATGCTGCTATACAGTCTGCTAATTAGGGATAACTGGTGGCACAAGGCTGTTTAGAATAAAGCCTTCAGCCTTTAATTGTAGAATGTGAAGTCATAGAATCATAGAATTGCTTTGTTTGGAGGAGACTTCTTAAACATTTCAAGTACAGCTCTGATCCTTGGGGCTTTTTCACAGCTCTGGAGGAGGGGTTTTTGTCATTTTTTCTTGGGTTTCCACCTGTTTACGTATTTCCATCAATTACTTTTCCTGTGTTATCTCCCACAGTCACATTTATTTACTAAATTGCTATATTGGCAGTGGAAATCTGAAATATTTTCACGTGTGAGATGTGATTGTGTTTTAGACATGATAACATTAAGGGTTGTTTGCATTTCTTGTCTTCTCACAGTTTCACAATTCTGATTGCCTTTCAACTTGGCTTCTTCATTTTATTGCCACTAACTACCTCATCTTCAGTCAGAAGCCTGAATTTCAAGAACTTTCAGGTAATTTACCTGTTACTTTTGAAACAACAAATATTTTTCTGTTCTGCTTAGATCAGGAGCGCTATCCTGGACAATACTGGTCTCACATGAGAAGATGATTAGGGTTTCTTTAGCCTATATTCTGGAGAGGCCATTTGAGCAGGATTGTTCCCCACCCTACTGTGGGACTAGCACGTGACACATAGCCAACACTGCATCACCTTATCTTTTTGTTCTTATTCTGATGGTCAGGTTCCCACCCATAACTGAATGGACTGGAACAGTCTGGACATCATATGTCAACCCCTTCACATTATCTGTATAATTTTGTTTAGTTTGTCCTTTTGAATCAAGGTAATGGGTCGTTTCTGATACTTGCTCTTGGTATCTTGGATTGGGGTTTTCCTTGAAGAAACTAGGATTCTTACAGTGGTCTCCAGCAGATCTCAAAATCAAACAGCTTTGTCCATTCAAGTAAATAACCCAGTTTCTTTCAGGGAAAATATTTTTATTTTCCCAAAGAGTGTATTTGCTTCGTGATATAAAAGTCTAGGAAGTTTTGCTCATTGCCTGTGGAATTTTTCATTGCCCTGATGATGGGGTCATGTCTTTGACCTGGGTGTATCTCTTTGTCCCATGGTTCATATTCAGACTGTTGGTATGAGGCCAATCTATTTTAGAAGGGGATTTTTCTTATCAGTGAGCTGAAGCTCTGTTTGGTCCAAAGTACATCAAAGGTTCTCATTCTTCATCTGCAAGGCTCTTCTATGTATGTCTGAAGACAGATGACTTTGTAGTCTGTATGAGCAAAGGAAGCAGAGTTAGGTCCTCCCTGCTTTGTTTGGACTTGGAATTTGTCTCCCAGCAGCCCATATACACATCCTCTGAAATGTCATTTTGTATGGCCAGATCAGGATTAAATATGGGAGACCAGGGCACCTGTCTTGGCATGTGTCATCCACATGTGGGTTTGGTCCACAGTGGACTTGCTTTGATTCCCTTCCTGTTAGTTCAGGTGGCAGGGTGTGTTTGTAAGCACTTTGTGGTGTCTTCCCCACTGCAGGGCTTTGGTCTCAACAACCCCAAGGTTCTCCTGAGGCTGCAGGAATCAGATTGTTCTCTCCATTTGGTGAAAGTGGGAGCTGCATCTGGCTTCCCCTTGATGAGGCAGTAGAGCACAGAGACCTTTCTGACTTAGGATCACCACACAGATCAATCTAGGCACATCTATTTACCCACTTTCCTATTCCCTAGTGGAAAATCATTTTATAGATATCACCTAATAAATGTGGCTTCTTTCTGCTGTAGGAACTAAAGGTAATCTCAGTGTTGCAATTATCTTGATGGATATCAGGCTGCATATGAGCCTATCATGAAAATGATGCAATGATGATGCTGGTATAAATCTGTAATTGTCATGTGTGTAAATTTATTAATAAAAAAGATAGAGGAGGTATTTTTCCAGTCTTGAATGGATCTGAAAACATCAAAAGTGCTATATAAGCATGAGTTAATCTTTATACAACTATTTAAAATATATGCCAATGTTGAGGGTTTTCTGAACTTGCACTTTCATCTAGTATGAACCTAAATGTTCTGATACATAGTTCAGCTCCTGGAATTACTGCTGAAAAACACAGTCAGAAAAGGAAGCTTAGTGAGATTTGAGTGAGATTTTGTCCAGTTTGGCCTTAAACACTATCAGGGATGGGGCAGCCACAGCTTCTCTGGGCACGTACTAAAGCTGGTGGCTATCAGATGAAATTTCTGTAGTCTCCAGTGGGTGGCTGATATCAGGTGGACCATTTTGTAGCCAAACATCAAAAAGTGTACCATGCCAGTGGACTGCTATCCTTAGAGGTTTGGTGTCTACACACATGGCAGCCTTTCCTTTGGTTTTCTCCTTCATCTGCATTCCTTCCATATGTTTCACAGATGAGCTGACACACCCTGCTGCATTAGACTTACGCTGAGACAGCCAGGGGAAGGAAATAAGAGTGCAAAAGTAACTACAGGTGAATTGTGTAAAACCATTCTGTTCCTACTTGCCCAGGCACAAACACTCTCAAGCACGCTCAGGTGGACTCACACTTCCCAGACAGCAGCACTTACGGGTAGCTGACCTCTCTTACTCAGGACACCACGACACCACATCAGCTCAAGGTTCAGGAGAACAGCATGGCAGGAGGCAGTGGCTCTCCAGGGGCTTTCTGACAGCTGAGACCTTCAGCAGCAGCCCTGCCTTGTACACAAAGGGAGGAGGAAGGTGCTGCCTGCTGCCCAGTTTCCCTGCCCTCAGCCTCAAGATGTTGGTCTCTCTGCTGGTTCCTTGGTCTGAGGTCCTCAAAGGACCAGGAACCATCACCGCAGGCTGACTCTGGAAAATTTGGGGTAGGGGGATGAAAATGCATCTTTCTGAAAAGGCAAAAGAGATTCATCTAAATAATATGGATAAAAAAACTCTGTAACCTGATTTTGTCACTGACAAAAAACACATGCAATAAGAGATCAAAATCTTGCTGAATTCTCAGTTGTGTTCCTTACCTTGTTTTTTTTACTGATCTTAAGACAAATGTTTTGCACGGGAATTGACATACCCTGCTTTATAGTGTTGCAGCATAGAAAAATCCTTGCAGTTGACTACTACATTTGGTTATCTTCTAGGGATAAAGAATGCTCATCTTTAGGAAAGTCTCTCTGCTCTCATGAGTATTGATTCATTTAAAAAAAAAACCAAAAAACACCTCCTTGTTTATTACTGACTTAATAGCAAAGAAACATTGTATGGTAACTCTATTGTATGGTAACTCTTACATCTGTGCTATAGCAGAGCTTGATGCAAAATGGGCATCACTCATCTTTACTTCTCTAGTTGTATTTATATCCTTAATGTTTTTTAACATGTTTTTTAAGACTTTTTGCAGTCTGTGCACTTGTGCTGTATGTCTGCATATTACATTTATTCCTTTATTGGTTTGTCTAGTGGAGGAGCGTAACTTTGTAGAGATGCACCGATGGCCTTCCAATTTGTACCTGAAGCAGCTTGCTGATTACAGAAACTACATCCACTCTCAGAAATGCCACTGCACAGTGATGTAAGGAGACTGAACACATAGAAAGTGCATCTTAACTGCAAAGTTTCAGATTGGGGATTATATAGAATACAAAAACCATGTCAAGAGTGAAACCAGATGCTGACCTCCTCTGGTACACTATGCCATGCTGTAGTGCACTTACAGATGTTCTTTGCTTTGCTAACAAATCACTCTTAATTTTTTTCCTTAAAGCATTGAGAAATGTATCTCGAAGATTTATTTCAAGCATAGAGACTTCACACCCATGGGGATAAAATGTAGTATGGGACAGTGTCATGACTGCCATCTGTTCCCCCTTCTAACTTCTTTATTGCTTGTTGTGGTTATTTATTTCTGCTAAACCAGCATCTGTTGAAAATAGACTGTTTTTTAAAATCTGTATATAATAGGACCATAGAAGCACTGTAGTAATGCAGGGAATCTGAGAAGCCATGTCATAAATTCTTTATATATTTCAGAATGCAAAACTTTATTGCTGTTAGTTTGCAAAATAAATGGCAGGCTTAATAAGCTTTTTAGTTACTATTAATTTTCTATTTCTAGGTAAGTCTGTAGTTCTCTTACAATCCTATAAGCAGATATTTTAATTCCAGAAGAATACCTATGCATTGCTGTATTCTCTAGTGCCTCCCAAATATCTAAAAATTGAAATAATTTTTCCTGCCAGTAAATAGGAGAAGAAAGCCTGTTTTAATAATCTGTAGAATACCTTAGTTGATGTGGTCATATTGTATTTTTCCCCATGAGGCATAAAGTCAGGGAGAACTGCATCCACTCAGATCATACCCATACAATACTGATGGACTGGGAAGAAGTCTTTCACAGGTTTTGTGGGGCAAACCTCACTGGCAGTAGTGATTTTTCTTGGAAAAGTGGGTCTTGTAATTGTAAGTCCCCGCAACAGCTGACAGCACAAATATTAGATGTGCTGGTTGTGGAGGAGGTGACCCTCACAGGTGTGCCAGTCCTGTGAGGGATGTTGGCTTTTGTGGTGGGACTTTGAGCTTGACCCTTCCCAGTGGGGGACTCAGTTTTAGTTGAGTTATCATGTGCTCATAAGCTTCACTGTGTGACCCAAACCTAGCTGTGGATTCTTTCTGAGGTATAACAGAGAAACCCTGAATATGATACCTGAACCCTTGCAGATGCTATTTAGCATTGCATTTTCTTAAATAATTTGTCATGTTACTAACTTAAGTTTATATAGTAATACTATTGCCAAAATGAACCTCACCTTTACATAAGAATATCTACCTGAACACAGGTACTTTTCTATAAGCAAAATCTTGCTGAGGAACTAAATGCTTCATTACCATTCTCATACTCTGAATCTGCTTTTCCAGATGCCTTTTTATTTTGGTATGTAGTCTGAGCCTAGAAAGATAAATAAAATACAAGTTTATATAGTAATACTATTGCCAAAATGAACCTCACCTTTACATAAGAATATCTACCTGAACACAGGTACTTTTCTATAAGCAAAATCTTGCTGAGGAACTAAATGCTTCATTACCATTCTCATACTCTGAATCTGCTTTTCCAGATGCCTTTTTATTTTGGTATGTAGTCTGAGCCTAGAAAGATAAATAAAATACATTGAAACAAAATTAAATTGTGCTTCCTCAGTGTCCACAGCATAGAATCTCAAATGTATATGGAAGCTGCACCTGCTGGGTGTTCCACAGATTGTTGAAGGTGTAAAAGCAAATTGCTGCGCCTGAATAGTTTTTTCTTTTAATTATAAGAATTGTTTTATGTTTCAGTATAGTTTTATGGGTCAATTGTTCTTTTCAAATTCCATGCTACATTCATAGAGATTTTCTGGTGATGCTTTGTAGAGCTTGAGAGGGTATTTTCCTTTCCAGGCGCACACAGACACACACACACAAAGGCCTGGTGACTCAGACGGCTGCTGTAGGCTCAAACTTGTGATGTTAGTTTTAAGCAAGAATCTGGAGATCCTAAAGTTTTTTAAAAGACAAGATATACTTATCTACACCTTGCATATAAAGAGTCTGAAATATAGAGAATCACATTTCTTTTTCAAGATCACTAAATAAAACTGAAATCATTAAAGAAAAAAATAAGTAGGAAAGTAGTATGTACAGAACTTAAATGTAAAAAGGGCAATTTGTATCATTATATAGTTATTTAAAAAGTGAAGCATAAATTAACTGGATAGATACGAATAAAATCTTAAGTTTTTTGAAGCATAAATTCATGGACAAAAATGAGGAAACTGAGGAACTATAGCTTGCCTGGACACCTGATAGCATCCTCAGTCATGTGCTTCTGAGAGCAGCCAGCTCAATTTTCAAAAGTGGGGATTCTATGCCTCCTACTGACTTCCTGTACAAAACCAATACAAAAGCTGTGTGAATAGGCATAATGGAAATACAGAGACTTTTTATCCAACACGGAAAAAAATTTTTGCTATTATGCATTTTAGTCAGTGGTAGCCATAGGTTTTATACAGAGAAGTCAGACAGTGTAAAAATATT